GTACACCGGTTTCTTAGATGTATCTAGTTTAGCCATCAACAAGTAAACAACACCGGATTTGGTAATGATGACCATGTTGATCTTTTGGAGGGGGTAAACCATCCGTCCTTTTTCTGTGAGGCCATGGAAGAGAGAAAATTCTGAAGCCCACATCTTAAGAGAAGTTGTTACTTCTGCATATGGTCTTGAGAAAAGGGAGCCGACTGGTCAGGGGATTGATGTTATGGAGAGCGAGTTTTTATAAAAGAAAGAGAGGTCTAGAAAGAAAACCTTCAGGAAGAAGAAAAAACCTAACTTCAGCAGGGAAGGGGAAAACGAAAGGGGAGAGTAAGCTTTATATAAAGAAGTTTATAGAAAAGAGGGGTAAGAAATAGGGAGGGGGAAATAAAAGGATATGGGAAAGGAGAAATAAAGGAGAGGAAAGAGAAAGAGCGAAGAAAAAGGTAAACAACTCAAAAATTTCCTAAAAAAGAAATTTTCAAGTACAGAAGGGAGAGTGAAAGAGAGTTTTTTTTTTTTAATTTTAATCAAAGATCTTATTTCACTATATCAATTATTTTTAGTATTAAGTTTTAAAATTAAAACTTACTTGTAATAAAGAATATAAAATATTTTTCTTTAATTTAAATTACTATAAATAAAAATTTTTTAACAACATATATATAATTAAAAAAAAATTATTATTATTAATATATTATATTAGCAATTATTTAAAAAAAATCAAATTTAAGTTTAATTAATAATATTTTTGAAATATTTTAAAATAATATTTAAAGATTATATATTGTATTTACTTTAAAAATCTTTAAATTATTTTAATATAAAAATTTTTGATAATAATTACTTAAATTAAAATTGTAATATAAAAAATTGTTTATTAATTATTAATATATATTAATTTTATTTTCTTTTCTTTTTTCTTCTCTATCTATTTTTTACAAATTGCATAATTTGTTGTGCAATTATTTAAATAAAATATTAATTTTTCTATATTTTAATAAATTAATATTTAAATGCTTGTTCGCGATAAAAAAAAAAAATAAATTAATATTTAACTTATATAAGTTACAAGATATTAATTCTTTTTCAAATATAAATTTTTATATATCATAATAAAAAACTAAAGCTTACCATAATAATAATAATAATAATAAATACGTAAAAATAACTTTTGAATTAACAAAAAGAATATTAAATATACTGTAAGTAATTTCAAAGATTATATGTATTTGAATTACACTGCAAATCATCTGAGTGATCGTGCTTGTGCGACAACACGACAAACGTCTTTCGAGCTCGCGCACTTTATTAGATATGCTTTCTTCAATTATTATGACGAACAAGGTGAGTAGGCACTTAATTATTGTTTATAATACTAGCTACGCTTGGAAGGAAATTTCTTAGACACGTTTCGCTGTGCTATTCTAAGGAATTCTTGATCAGAATTCTGGACAATAATATTCTACGCCTACATGATCCTTCACATTTTTGTGGACATGTAGCCGATGCTTGGAGATAGACTTCTTAGAAACCTCACAGGACGCTACATTCCTCCTGTGTAGCAACGCTAAGAAACTCTTGACCATAATATTGTCTAGTCGATTTTTTTATCACTAAGCCAGTTCTTTTAAGCATCTAAGACAAAACTAATTATCTTTTGTTTTTTGGAGGCTGTCTCCTTTTTGGAAGAAAAAGTATATTCAGAATGATCGATTTCCTCATGTCTCGATTTTTTATCAGTAATAATTATATAAATTCCGATGACGTTGAGCCCAATTTTTGAGAATATGAAGAAGAAACTCCAATCAATCAGCGATGATCGAAACAATTTGGCTCGCGTTCATCCAAAAGTTCTTTCCATTCACACCCTTTTTAACAAGACGATCAAAAGCCCGAGATTCAGAAAGTGCTTCAAACGGTGATAAAGAAGGTAGTTAGTGATTTTCGTGAAGTTATGACTTATTGACAAGAGTACATACAACTGAAATATATTTTTTAGAGTGAAGTTGGGTCAAGAAAATGATTGAAAACATAGATGATAAGATAGCAGTTGCCCCAGATACAAGACCAACAGAAGAACTAGTAAGTATCTTGCAATCAATGAAGAACGGTTCTTTCTCTTAGGATCAACCGAAAAAACCTTATATTGTTTATAAATTTCAAGAAGAGAAATATGAGTTCAAAACAATAGGTATAATAATAATGTTAAAGTCATTTTGATATTCCTGGTTGTAATTTATTTTAAAAAATTATTCCCTACAGGATAAAGATGACTCAGAAAGCGATGAGACTGATTATGATGACGAACTCAGCGACGGTGAATAGTAATGGCTGTTGAACGTCGGGAAAATCGGTCACTACCTACCTTTGAAATGAAATTTAGTATTGTATATTCTGAATATTGTGTATATTTATAAACTTCGAAGTAAAAACAAGATATCTATCATCACAATTGTATGTATTCTTAACATACTTGATCTCCATTGTTTTAAAGCATATAATATCTTCCCTCATTTTCATAATAAAATTGATACAAGGGAACAAATTCTAGCTGCGGCCAAAGATGATCTTGCCACCGATGAAATTAAGTATTTCGAAGAATTCATCCTAGTTTTCAAGGAGTTTAAGGAAAACCAAAAATCAAGTGTCTATTTGAAAGTACAGTAAAACCGAAGTGGTTGGGACTATTAGTCAAAAAATGTTGAAAGATTCGGTTTAGAAAGGTTTACTTAGTAAATTAGATTTAACGAGATTATTTACAATAGGAGTTTTTTGAGCGGACTTAGTACTTCGGTTTAACGATGTTTGACTATATTTACTGAATTTTTTTTCAGTAAGGAATATAATATATGAAAATTTTGTACGACTAATGTTTCTCGTTATATAGCTGTTCCAATTATGATATAAGGGGAAATGGCGAATCGCAAATTATTTAATTGATGATTAATATTAATATGCAGAGCTTTTATCAGTTAAGCGGTACAGAATTGTAAAGTGATTGTTTGTAATAACAATATAATTAATATAAACTATGTTCTTATCTTATAGGACTCAATAGATGATAAGAAAAAATCCATTGATGATTGCAACAAACGATTTTATTGTAATATGTGAGCAAGATACTGATGAGACAGCCCAAATTATATAAAGTGTCACCTTTGAGTGCTGGGGCATTTGAAAGATGGTTGCTTTATTATTAATATTCGTTACTGGAAATAATTAACGAGTTTTTCATAGGATTGAATCATTTTGCAAACCTATTCCAGCAATAAGTGCGCACAACATCAGTGAATATAATTCCTGGTCATCGCTTTTTTCCTAGAGCATTAGATGATTTTGTTGGACTTGATTAGTGCATGTAAGTACTGGTTTAATAAAAAAAAAGCTCTATTACTTAAGTGCATTTAATAAGATTAATTCTTTTTCATTTGACATGGAGGTTCCTGTGTATGCATTAAAATCGGATTTAACAAAATTTGTGACAGATTCCTTTAAAGTGTACAGAGAGCTGAAAGACTGGTTAAACGTATAGATTTTACATGCAATAGAGATAATGAAAAAATACACTTGTTAAAAAAGTAAATTATTGAAATTTTACCAACCTTACCTTCATTAATCAAAAAATCAAAACTTAAGGACCAACATTAAACCGTATTTGTATTACGCACGTGGTTTCTTAAGTAATTCATATATTGATTTTGCTAAATTGAATTTTCACTAAAGAAAAACAATCCCGAGTTTATTCAATAAGACCTAATTCTTAAAGATGTTTTGGAACAACATATGGGTCTTCATAATACCGGACATACCTTAGAGCAATCGGATTCTCTTCGCATAACTCTTTCTTAAGTTTGATCCTACTCTATTAAATTTTTCATGCTGTTCATCTTGCACTTCGACAGCAAAGCTATATTCATAATAGGGAATATTGAATGTTTTTAAGAAATCAGGTTGGTGTAATTTAGATAGTGGTTCAAATATTTTATACTATTTTTAACATATTATTTCTCTTTTATATTTCGAGTAGAATGGTCACCACGAGTTTGAATGTTTAATATCGCTAATTATGCAGTCCATAAATGTCCTTCACACTTCCATAATAAAGTTAAATGACTATTAACAAAATATTTAGAAAAACATACATTTTTATTACATGCTACTTGCTTGGCATCTTCAAGTGTATAGGGTCTATTATTTGCATAATGTGTTATTATTATTTTAGTAAACAAAAATTCTTTCTTAGCATTTATAAAAATATACAATTGACAAGAATTTACATCTCTCAACTTACAAAATAACTATTTAAACTATATTAGAAAAGAAATTTTAAACCCAATATATTGTTTAAATAATGGTATACCAGATTATACAATTTAAAAAGATGTATAAGATTTTAAAAAAACAATAGGACAAATCAAATATATAATTCAATATTGATATATACTTTCTAGTAAATGTCCTGAAATTATAAATTTTGATTACTATAAATTATCAAATCTAAAAACTTTTAAAATACAACATAATATAATTTTAATATTTTTTAATAGATATTTCAAATAATTTGATTAGTTTAAGCCATTAAATATAAAAGCAAAATTGTTAAACAAAATATAACTCCTACATATTTTATAAGTTATTATATATGGATAATTATTTTTGAAAATAACAAAAATATCAATAAAAATATTTTTTAAATACTTTTTTTAGATATATAAATTTTAGTACTCTTTTTTTAAATATATAATTTTAGGTAATCTTTTTTAAAAAAAGTTTTAGAAAATTATATAAAGTTTTAAAAAATTTTAGTTCTAAAAAATTAGATAAAGTTTTAGAAAATTTAATAATGTTTTATAAAGTTTTAAAAAATTCTATAATATTTTATTAATCAAAATACCAATCAATTGTTTTTATATAAATAAATAAAAAAATTTTAAATCTTATCTTAATTTTTTTTTAATAAATTTCTATTATATCTTCTATTAATCTTTAAAAAAAAATTTTTTTTTATTAAATATATATATATATATATATATTTTTTTTTTATTACAAACAGGCATTAAATGCGAGACATTTATTAAACATCAGTTTATCATCATTACATTAACAATCTTTAGTTACAGAGTAATTAAATTAATTGTAGCCTAT